AGCCAAAATATGGCTACAATTTGGATTATAATGTGTTAAAACTAAAAGACCCAACATTCATTTATATTTTTCCTTTAATAAAATTTGAATCTCAGGAATGTAGCCCTAAGAAAACATTCTAAGTGGCTTTCCTTTCTGTCACCAGAGGAAAGGGCAGTACGAGGCAGGACCACTATTTGGGGCTCCTGTAGTTCTCTTGAACCCAGCGAGGTGCGGGCTTCGCCTTTGTTTTTTCTGATTCTTCCCTTCACGCAGTCCCTTTAGAGGGGAGGAGGCTGGCTCACTCTCTCTCCTCTCCCTCCAAAAGGCCACAGGAGGCGTATCAGTTTCGGCTTTAAGACGAGCTGCAAAGAGGATGTGAGGGAATGGGAGGGAGATTATTGCTGCTGCTGCTTAACCATTTTAGGAAAGATTGCATTAACAAAAAAAGAACAAGGCTTGAAAGGGGTGAGAGCTGATGAGTCTGCACAGCACTCTCAGATCTGCAAGTCGCCAAAGGTGAGTGATTAGTTGCAGTCGAGATGACAGCAGTGCTCCCATGACAACTGTTCATTCAGAACAGCTGCAGTTTCCAAGTGTGTAAATGATCTCACCTGTCAGCTTAGCCAACGAGCTGAACTCAGATTCATCATTGGTCTCCTCGGTCTTTTGTACATTCAACTGGTGGCCTCCATTTTTTATTAAGGTCATTGAAATGCTTGTGCGATGTTAGTTCTTTTCTTTGTCTCAACTTTTATGCATTACACAACCCACTTTAATGCTTCATTATAAAATTTAGTGGCAATGTGCAGGGTGCTAATAAAATGGTTCAAATGAGTAGCTTTTATTAAGCTCCCATAAATTGGTATCAACAGAGGAACAGAAGGCTTTAGAATGATATAATATGAAGAAAAGGCAAGAGAAAGCAAAGCATACCCTTTGTCTTCATGGTGTTTGTAAATGAAGAGTCACTGTAAATATAGGTAATGTTGCGGCAATCACAACCTTACACGAGGCTCATTTATCTTGTCCTGGTAGGTCCCATCACATGTTTTTGGAATTATTTGTGTACGTGTCCTCCCCAGTAGAAGTTAAATTTTGAAAGGAGAAGGCACACAGTGGGTACTCAGTAAAGGCTTGCTGGCTAAATTGAACTGTGGAGAAAAACACTTCTAACGTGACTCTCAAGGTATTTGGGCACTAAGTCCATGTGTNATATATATTCAAGTGTACATTCAATGAACTCAGTGTGGGGAACAGAAAGGAGGAGGAAGAGGGAGAGTGAAAGAGAGCATGCAGGCAGGAAAGGGCAAGCTTTTTCCATATGTTTGTGCTCCAGAGTGTGAGAAGGAGAAGGAAATCACTTGTTCCTTCAGCCTCAGGGCTCAAATCCCTCCCCAACTGTGAGTATCTTGCTATTCCGACTTTGATTTTAGAGTTTAAAGACAAGTATTTCTCATATAACACGGTCCTTGAATGTAAGCTAATGACTGCATCTGGTGCTCCGCCTAAGATACAGCGATCTGTTTTCCAGCCCATGATGGTCTCCAATGTGGGGCTTTTCTAAATAATTTTTAAAACTAGTTTTGACGCCACTCAATCATTTTAAGCACTAATTTTGGAACCTAGCCTTCCACTGCTGTGACGCTATCACTGGGGGCCATTGCAAAAGTGGATAAGAGCTTCACATCTGCAATCAAATAATTTGGGTTCATAGTGCAGCTCCATCATCTACCAGGTGAAGGACCCTAGGCAAGCTTTGTCCCAGTTCTCTCATCTGTAAAATATAAATAATAGTATGTACATACTCCGTAAGTATTTTCAGAATTTACTGAGATAATGGGGTGGAGAGCACTTAGCTCAGTGCTTAACTATACAATCACTGTTAGCTGCTATTATGCTTCTAAATGTGATTTCTTTTTCTAAAGCAAAGTCTTGGATAAATTGATTGTTTAAAGTTGACATGTTATTGTAGGTCTTCCACTTCAGGTAATGTTTAATATTATAAATGTCAAATATATTGGTCTATGATTAATAATATACAAGTAAATTCTTTTTCCAAGAAAGAAAACATTGTCTTCCTTGTTTATGTATTTTTAATGCATCGATTTTGGCATGCTTAGTTGATTTTTCCATCTTTATTATTTTCTTATGTGGCTTCTGATAGATCCTTCAGTTTCTTCATAACAGTAAGGAAGAGATCTAACATAATAACTCTACTCAATGTACAAACACTGCAAATGTATTTACAAGTATTAATGTTACCAAACATGGATAAAATGTTGTTATCCCATTTTAATACGAATTAAGTTTTCTGGGAAAAATAAACTTTAGTTTTTTGTGGATAAATGAACCANATATGTGAAAAGACAAATGACAAAGTGAGAAAAAGATTTGCAACATATAGAACAAAGGATTAATATCCCTAATATATAACAAGCTTGTAAAAATTAAGAAAAAGCCCAATAATCTGAAAGTAAAATGGGCAAGAGTTGGACGACTCACAAACAAAAATATGCAAATAGGCCTTAAACCACAATCATTTAATATTATTCAAAATAAGAGAAATATGTATTTAAACTACATTAAGATACTACTTATCACCTATAAGAGTGACAAAAATCCTAAAACGTGATGCCTGTCTATGGGCCAGGCTGTGCAGGAATAGACAGTATCATATATTGTTGATGGGAGTCCCACAATGTCACAACCAGGGGGAGGAGGAATTTAGCAACGCCCAGTAAAATTCCAGGTGCAACCTGAGATTTCACTTCTACAAATTTGTTCAAGGGACACATTGACAAAACTATAAAAACTTTATTCATTGCGGCAGTATGTGAAATAACAACAAAATGGAAACAAGCCGATTTTCCATGGACAGAAGACTGGTGGATAAATACAGTGAAGTACTCTGCAGCTCTCAAAAGAAACCAGGAACATCTCTATACACGGCCATGCAAGGGATTATTACATGAAAAACAATGCTAAGAAATGTTCAAACTATATACCCTTTGGCTATCAGTTCATATGAGAGAGCAAATCACTAAAAGTTGACCGGAAGCTCTGAATGAAAAGCTTGGAGGCTGGGGGGCTTCACTGGTGATGGGGTGCTCAGGTGACCAGCTGGCTTATGTTTGCTTGTTTTCATTACAGCTGTAGTGTCTGTAGTTCTTTCCTCTGGGACAGTTCTGATTCTGCAGAGGAGAATCTTTTAATCACTTTGATTAAGGAGATGATTCTAGCTTCTGAGGTTCTGGAACGAAGGGCAAATGGTGGAGTGGGGTGTGTATGGGGAATATTTCCATTATTTGGTCTGCAGATTCTTACTTGGTTTTTGTTTTCAGTATAACATGTCACACTTGCCCTCCTGTGTGCCTCATATCACTATACTTGGAGCATCTCTGGTTCAGTTTCTTCACAGAATCAACTTCAGGTCTCTTGCAGGTGCAGGCAGAAATAGTTACCTGTCTACACATGATGGGGATGGGGATCTGGGTCTCTAAATAACATTTTAAAATTAAACATAATTTCAGCCTCCCTTTATCCCCTTTCTCTGAGGTTTCTGGTGTCCTGATTTCCTGAAATTTTCTGGGATTCTTTGAGAGTAGAGTGATTTACTTCCTGATAGCCCTCTTGCCATTCCCTTTCCCCATGCACTGAAGTTTGATCTTCCTCTTCTCTACTCAATATTATCTACCATTTTTCTTCAATCTATTTCCTGCTTTCATATATTGTGGTTCAAGTTACAGAATGGTGAACATAATTTCATCAATAATGGAGTATCCTTTTTCTGGTTCTTGCTCTCATTGTTATGTGGGGGTGTGGTCTTCCTTGGGGAGAAGTGGGTTGAAGTACTTCTATCTGCACTCTTCACTTGGGAAGCCCTCTATTTTGCCTTAATGATTTTTCTAAATTGTGTTTATAGGATATATGATTTCTCAAGTTCCATATATTTAAAAAAATGATTATATAAATTACTCATTTAAATTGTTACTAAATTA